TGATCGATAGGCGATCGTACAGCGGATACGCGTTCATACTGGCAGGTACAGCAGTAAGCTGGGAGGCGCGCAAACAGCGCACCGTCGCACTTTCCAGCACCGAAGCCGAGTACATGGCTATGACAGAAGCGACGAAAGAAGCAATGTATCTCCAAGGTATTTTAAAAGACTTGGGTATATGCTGTCAAAATGTTACAATATTCAATGATAGCCAAAGCGCACAAAAACTCATTCAGTGCTTAGGCTACAGCTCGCGCACGAAGCACATCGACGTGCGCCATCATTTCGTTAAAGAATGCTACAAAAGCGGAAAGATCGCGCTTACGTATATGCCGACTGAAGATATGCCAGCGGATGTCTTCACAAAAAGTTTAAACAGCGTTAAGCATTGTAAATGCTCTGCAGCGTTAGGCATGGCAAGTAGTCTCACTACTTCGAGGGGAGGTGTTGGCGCAGCAAAGTAGTTTCGACTACCAACATACATTTTTCAAGACTATTGTACTCATACTATTTTATGCAACCATGAATTGTTCTTTATTAACATTCCACTTTATCATTGATCTTGATTACATTTCGTTCCTTCAGTTAGTCCTTTGTATGCTGCGAACAAGTGAAGTTATTAAAGCGTTAATACACGAAGCTCTAAAACTCTTGTTTTATTCCTGATAGTTTCTAGCGAGGACTAAACACAACATGTTGCATATCAAATGAGACATTTCCCATTTAATTATAGACTCTTCAATTATAACTAATTAGGCTATTAAAAAATGTGATTCTTTATAATATTTTGTTATGTTTTTTGGGAGCGGTATTAAATTCTGCATTTCAAAATTTATTCGGTTGAAAATTCTGTAAAAAAATTTAAAAAGCTCGTTGCAGTTAAAATTATTTCGGGTCAAAATTCTGTATTTAAAATTCTGGAAGAACCAAATGATGTAGAATTAAAACTCCGGAAAGTAAAATTCTGGATTCAAAGTTATTTTCGGCCGAAATTCAGTATTTTTTACAAGTTTTTATTTAACTTCACTTGTATATATGTTAGTATGTCCTGGAATTTCGCAATCAATGGGGCTGTTCAGGATCTTGTGCATATGCTCTGGCATTTGTATATTCGGTGCATTTGTAAATTTAAAAAAATAAAATGCAAACGGTTGCCATGGTAGCAAGCAAACAATTTGCAAATGCAAATCCAAGACTATTTGCACAAGATCCTGAACATTCCTAATATTTCACCAACCGATAACAATGCAGTGAAATGAAATGTCCGCTAGGTAGCGCAGGAGGGAGATATTTGGAAACCAGTATTCACGATCCAATTTGGTTCTTACTCAGAAAGTTTGTTTAAAAATACATGTTTACTATTAACTTATTTAATAATGAAATTAACCCAATTTTATTGTTCTTAAAAAAAAAATTATGGGCAAAAGAAGTTAATATACAATTAAATTTTTAGCAGTTCCTTTTAAGAAAACAAATATGACTTAAGTCTAGTCTTTTTTCATTAATCTTTTGATTTTGCAATGTGCTTTTACAGCTTTTATCTTTTAGGATATATTTCGGCCATTTTGAATTGCCGTGAGTTGAGCTTCATAAACCAACTCGCCTTTTAAATCATTGATAAGTTTATACAACCCTGAATTTCATTTAACAACGATGCCAAGCCTCAACATTGTTTTGTGTTGTAGGGAAAGGGATACTTGTTGACCCTTCGTTGTCTCCAAATATGTATCACGCATGTACTCGGCTTCGGTGCTGGAAAGTGCGACGGTGCGCTGTTTGCGCGCCTCCCAGCTTACTGCTGCACCTGCCAGTATGAACGCGTATCCGCTGTACGATCGCCTATCGATCA